GTATAGCATGATTTTTTAAAAGGTGTACAATGTGATGATTTAATATATACATACAGTGTCCTATGATTACCACAATTAAGTTAACTAAACTCATCCAGCACCTCACATAGTTACCATTTTATGTGCTTGTGTGTGTGTGTGTTTATGGTGAAAACACTTAAAATCTACTCCCTTAGCAACTTTCAAGTGTACAGTGCAGTATCGTTTACTATAGTAATCATACTGTACATTAGATCCCAGACCTCATTCATCTTATAACTCTAAGTTTGTAACCTTTGCCCAACATCTCCCCATTTCTCCCACCCCCTAGCCCCTGGTAACCATCATTCTATTTTCTGGTTCTATGAGTTTGACTTTTTTTACATTGCACATATCTGTCTGGCTTATTTTACTTAGCATAATGTCCTCCAGGTTCATCCATAGTGTTGTAAAGGGCATGATTTCCTTATTTTTTATGGCTGAATAATATTCCACCACACATACATATACATATATGTGGTATGTATATATACCACATTTCCTTTATCCATTCATCTGTTGATGGACACTTTAAGTTGTTTCCAACTTGATTATTGTGAATAATTCTTCAATGAACATGGGAGTGCTCTCTCTTTGAGATACTGATTTCATTTCCTTTGGATATATACCCAGAAGTGGGATTCCTGGATCACATGATAATTCTATTTTTAATTTTTTGAGGAATCTCTGTGCTGTTTTTTGAGTTAAATTGTCCTTTTAAAGGGGACCAGTGATGGGGCACTTGGGTGGCTTAGTCGTTAGGTGTCTGCCTTTGGCTCAGGTTGTGGTCCCAGCGTCCTGGGACCGAGCCCCACATCGGGCTCCCTGCTTGGCGGGAAACCTGCTTCTCCCTCTTTCACTTCCTCTGCTTGTGTTCCCTCTCCCACTGTGTCTCTCTCTGTCAAATAAATAAATAAAATCTTTTAAAAAAATAAAGGGGACCAGTGAGGAACAGAAATTGAAGGGCCTCAGGCATCCTGGAGATCCCCTGTCCACGCCCCATAGTGGGGGGGTTACTTGCTGGTGACATGCTTATTTATTTATTTAGAGGGAGGGGGAGGGACAGAGGGAGTGGGAGAGAGCGAATCTTAAGCAAGCTCCACGGCCAGTGTGGAGCCCGAAGTGGGGCTCGATCTCACAGCTCTGAGATCATGGCCTGAGCCAAAATCAAGAGTGGGATTTTAACCAACTGAGCCACCCAGGTACCCTTATTTATTTTTTATTTTTAGCCCCAGCTTGTCCTCTCCTGGAACATCCCTCCCTCCCACCTTACCTGGCTCACTCCTCTTTCATGCCCCCCCCTTTTTTAATTTTATTTTATTATGTTATGTTAGTCACCATAAAATACTTCATTAGTTTTTGATGTAGTGATCCACGATTCATTGTTTTCGTATAACACCCGGTGCTCCATGCAGTACGTGCCCTCCTAAATACCCATCACCAGGCTAACCCATCCCTCCACCACCCTCCCCTCTAAAACCCTCAGTTTGTTTCTCAGAGTCCATAGTCTCTCATGGTTCATCTCTCCCTCCGATTTCCCCCCTTCATTTTTCCCTTCCTTTTCCTAATGTCCTCCATGCTATTCCTTATGTTCCACAAATAAGTGAAACCACATGATAATTGA